ACTGTTTAGAAAGATGCAAAAAGGTAAGAGAAAATAGCAGAAATCAGAATTCTAGAAGAGAGAAGATGAAGAAGAAGGTGGCGGCAACTAGGGTTTAGAGTAAGAGTTTCGAACATAATCTCTTCTCTTACACCCTTAATCTAATTTTATTAAGTTAAACTTTGATAATTTACAGAGAGGCCCTTAGTTGGGCAAAAAATTAAAAAACATAACTGTTAACGCAGGGGTATTTCTGTCTTTGTACCTTGATCGATGTTGCTGATCTGTAATGTTGTGTTGAAACATGTGCTCTTAACTTAAGGGCACATAGGTCTTTTCAGTTATGTTTTAATAATAATATAAATACTTACTGGCCGACTGGGAGAAGTCAAGTTGACTCTTTCAGTTCGAACCAGAATTCTCTCTTCTCTCTTTCTCTCTGTCTCTCTTTCTTTATCACTTTTTCTTCTTCTACATAACTGAACTCAGTCAGGCCGAACTCTAAGGCAGACCTGAATTTTAACAATAACATAAGAAAGAGTAGGCCCAGATTAAGGCCCATTACAACAAAGAACATAAAAGATAAAAGAGCTAAATAGTCTATGGGCCATTCGGCCCATCTTCTCTACAGAGTGTTGACAAAAAAAAAAAAATTGTAAGATTGGAGAGAGTGGATTTAATCAGGGAGACCCGCCCCCTTTTGAAATATAATTCTTTTTCCACGAGTCTAATCTTTTAACAAACCTCTCAATGATCCTCTCCCAAAATGTCACCTCCCTAGGATTTCCCCAAAAAAAAAAAAATCCTAAATACTTAATTGGCCACTCTCGGATTTCACACTCTAGTATATCTGCACACTCCTTCATTCCTATCCATTTAGATCCCTACCATACTATATTTAACTAAATTAATCCAAAATCTGTCTAAAGGCTCTAACATTCTGTACTCCCTTAAATTCACCCAAAATCAATGTGTTATTTGCAAATTGCAAGTGAGAGACCACTTTAACAGGTCTTCTTGTCGAAAACCTCTAAAATCTTTAAAGAAATCTTTTGAGGAGCCATCGATGAGGATTAAGAAATGGGTGGCCATCAAACACTCCATGAACCATTTTATTCATGTTTTTTCTCAAAACCCATTTTCTCCATCACCCATTGAAGATAACCCCAATCCACATGATCGTAAGCCTTCTCAAGATCCAATTTAAGCAACCTTTCCTTCCTGACTTCCTAAAATCCTCACTGCCTCATTGGCTATAAGGGTTTGATCTAAAATCTATCAGTCTATCTTTGATAATTGTCCAGTGTTCCCTTGAGACCACAAAGTGAAGCACTTAAATCTTTCCAACAACACCTTAGCCACTATTTTGTGTAAAGTTGTAGTAAGACTTATCGGTCGAAACTCATTTGTAAAGGCATCACCTGACATTTAGGAACCAATTAAACAAATGTGGCATTCATTCCTTTCCCACTTCCCCATCATATAAAATTCATTAAACACTTTCTTCAAATCTTCTCTAATGATGTATAAATCTACGCACAACAGAAAAGGAGGCTATCCAGGTGATGTATAAATCTGTTCTGCTACACTTCCTGCTAATACAGGTCCACAGTAGAAAAGGAGGCTACCCAGATGATAGCAGAAGCTAACACCCAATGAAACACCAACCAACACACAAGCAGATCAGACCACCACACTGCCAGGCCAAACAAGAAAAGCTTCAGACCTTTCGAACTCTATTAGCACCCACCTAGGTTTGTCCAGGTCTATTTCCCCTTAATCAGTCTTGAGGAACACTTTCACACAGAATCTCCACCTTGACACAATAGGAGAATCATCAAACAACACTTCCAGTCTGCCGTCAACACTTTCAGTGCACCCAATCTACTTGGAAGAGAGAGAAAAAAAGACTTCTTTACAGGCATGTACACACAGATTGACTTGATAAAATAATGGTTCCTTGTGACAACTGCATGATCAAACACACAAGGGATACCCCCACAACATATAGATATCAATAGATCTAGGTTTACACCTTCGGCTGAGTAGAAGATTCAAAAAATTTCCATAACAGGCCCTTCTATGTCGCCCACTTTATGTTCAGATCTGAAAGAATCCCTTTCGTATTACAACCAAGGAAGAAAACAGAACAAAAAAGAAGAGTAGATCCCTCAATCAGATCAGTATTGTACCTTCAAACAGTCCCCCAAACAGTAGAGTCCAAAAGTGAAGAAAAGAGATGAAAAAAGAAGTTGAATCCTTGATCCGATCAGATCTACTCTGATACCATGAAGTAGTTATGCAGTCCATGAAAGAAGAAAGAGATCAGAGAAAGAGAAAGAAAGAATGAGGCTCAAGTAAGTGTGGCAGCACTCCACTCACTATTTTATTAGAGAGAACATAAAATAAGTTAAAAGGACCATAATTCTACTATGTCACTAATAAAACAGATTACAACAGTACCATATTCCATCCTTTTCACGGATGTGATCGGATCCGGTGCCAAAACTTTCTTCCCCGCAAATTGACAACTTTCCAGCATCCATTAGATTCCCAAAGAATTTCCAACCAGTTGGAACCTGAACACAAAGATGTTCATTTAGGGATGCAGCTTGTCAAGTCCTAGCACAATGATTAGAAGTCATGGAATACAACAAGGAAATACATTCTGAATAAGTCCAACATTAACTGCACCTCAAAGAATGGAAGATTCAACTTTTCAGCAACACGATCAAGAGCACCACTGGTAGGCATAGAACGAGCTAAACCCTAAAAGAAACAAAGAAAACCATGAAGAATAAAGTCCTTTTATGGTTTAAGATTGAAAAAGAAAATGAACCTTAAAAAGAAATACACGTGACCTCCTACCTTTGGGCCATTCCGAAAATAAGGGATTGCTGCCTGTGCATTGGCTGCAATAATTGCAACAGAGTCCGAGGGAGTAACAAAAAAACTTCTACCAAGAATCATGTTCCTATCACCATCCCCTAAATAACAATAAGAATTTTCCATCATTAAAAATGGTAATGGTATATTCCAGTCTAAACTTCCACCTTCCAATTCTACATAGAAACTTTTGGGGGGAACAGAAGTTGTTTGATCGCAAAAATACAAAACAACAATGGATAGGAGACATGAATAGTAACTTTCCTATCTATTATCTAATAATTAGTTTGAAGGATCTAAAGAAAAAAATGAAGTCAGCCTAATTAGCTAAAGTAGAAGAACTTGAGGTTGCATGAGTTTTGAAATTAATTTGAAGCCATTTTCACCAGACACCATTACTTAAATGTAGTACAATGCATGGAAGTATTTGTTGCCTTAGTTCTATTCCATTTATTTTGCCCATGTTCCTATATTATTCAGAATTCAGAGAGCCTATCTCTCCAATGATATTAACATGATTCTTAAATCTAGGCCCTTCTATTCTCTAATTTATCCATTAAACACTGACAACCAATATCCTAATACAATCCCATTTGTGAACTGCAGGTTGTTAGCAATAATATAACTCAGTTCATAAATTGTAAGGGGCTCTCTACAGATTGAGGTCCCCATGCTTACTTCATGATGCACTTTCTTTAGATAGTTATAAATACAACAATTAACAAAAACCAAATTCAATTAAGGAAGATTGTCCACATGGTCCCACCAATTTCTGCCACATTAAGCTGTTCATTGGACAAGGGACCCTCTTAATTAGGATTTGGGAATATGTTCACTCCAGTCCACATCAGCCCCATACCCCACCTTGTTTTCGAGTTTCCCTTGAGTGGTATGAGATATCAGAAGTTTAAACAGCTTAATTTTTAAAAACACACTTGAAAAGGTCTTAGGATTGCTATGACATAAAGGATTCAAGGATTTAAGCCAGAAAACACACAACAAATAGAGTGTAATGAGAAGGGGCATGTCATTGAAGATTCTTGGATGGTCTACATTACTTCAATAAAAGTCCAAACTAGTAAAAGTCAAACACAACACTCTTAGTTGGTGATGGAGGTGGATTTAAGACAATGATGACAAGGAATCAAAAGAACAAACTCAAAATATGGCTTCAAGAAGGGACTATCAAGTTTGATATTCCAAATTATTGCATAAGTTATAGACCTAATTTCCCTCAATACAATAATTGGATTGAGCTGAACGTTGGATATGTTGAAGTTCAAGGAGTGTAAAAGGGATCTTAAATGCATTGGGCAGATAATATAAGTGGATGACCTTCAACAAGCTGCTTTTGGATTTCTGGAAACTAAGGATTGTCAACAGTGGTCAACATTACAGTGTTTTGACTTAAAGTTCCACTACAATTAGTTTTTTTTTTTTTTTCCTTTTCTGATCAGTAACAGAATTTCACTAGAATTATGATAAAACAATTACAAGAACAGGAGAGGAAAACTTTCTTAACTCTCCACAGTAGAATTTTGCTATTGCAATTGAGCCCAAAACAAATGAGTCCTTCTCACCCCTTGAATTACTAATACATCAGCAAACCCATTCACACTTCTTTTAACCCAACTGAATTTCACATCCATATTTTGAATCAACCACTTAAATATTTTCTTTCCATTGTTAAAAATCCAAAATAGGTGTAGGGGATTCTTTGAGGTCTGAGGTTTTGGCCATGATGGAGGGGATGCAAAGAGCTAAGGATATGCACATTAGTAAGTTGGTTATAGAAGGAAATTCAAAGCCAGTGATGGGTTGGCTACAAAAGAAGTCAGGTTGTGAAAATACAACAGTGAAAGAAAGAAGTTTAAATGGCTGATACGAGGCATGGATGTGAGAGTACATTGGGTTAAAAGAACTGCTAATGGGTTTTCTGATGCTTTGCCAAAACAAGGGGTGGGAAGAAATCAGTTGTTTTGGGCTCAATTGTAATGACTTTTTAATCTTTAGGGAGAGTTAAGAGATTTTACCTCTCCTCCTTTGTAATTTATATTCTATCATTAATGAAATTTGCAGTTATTGATAAAAAAAAAAAGTAACATACTTCCCCCTGCCTTACAATCTGAATTATATTATTTATTTTTAGAGCTCTTTGGCATGGTGTCATCACATCTAAAATGCTGTAGGGTTGGTAGATTTCTCCCCTTTTTTCTGATCATTCAATCTCTCCTCAACCAAATATCAAGCTCTCAATAATCCATTTAATTCAACACTAGTTCCAGCATTATTATCTCCCAACCAAATTCTATAACAAAAAAATTAGTTGTCATATAGTATAAAATCTATCAATGGTTTCAAAAAGTAACCACACAAAAAAAGTGAAAGGAAATATAGAACACATTCCAAACTAAACAATGTCCAAATCACAAAATGTTAGCATTAATGCAACAAATCAGCAAATAATAAAGATCATCAGAGACAAATTTCGCCTTTCAAATTGCCTTACATACCATCACTAGCTGCTCCAAAATCAGGCCCATTCTCAGAATACATGACATCAACCAAATCCTTGGCATACCTGTTTCAATATACTATACAGACAATGATGAAGCTGAAATAATGAAAAATCAACTCCATAAATTGGTCGTGTTTCTTACGTAAGATTAGGATCTGGATGACCATGCCCAAAATCTTCCAGTGGCACTCCATTAGCAATTGAATCCTATATTTTGCATGTAACATCAATGGTCAGTAACTTCATTACTGGCTTGAGTTTACTTATTGCAAAGATTCTTGAGGAGGTGCAGGCATACTGGATTGGCTCCCAACATATCCACAAAGATAGGCTTTGCATAGGCAGCAGTAACTGCATGCATGGCATCAAATATGAACCTGAAACATGACCCAAATAAATAGACAACTCAGAGCCATAATTCATCTTCCATTAGAAATAATCTCAAAAATCTTCCAAAGAAGATTCTTAGACATGGAAATGATATTAAACAATTTGCATAACAATAAACTTATATTTGTTTATGGCAGGCTAATGTGAAGCATTTCCGGAATTGCTTATCCCAACCAAGGATCAAGAACTGAGAAGTATTTCTCATTCATGCTGGAGCATCCATCAGTTGCATCACCAACTAGGTAATTTAGAATTAATTAACTATTATCTAGGGCATCCCTGGAAGCAAGGAACTGCAGCAACACCCAGTTGTAGTGAGAAGTGGACAACAGTACTTGCATTATCCTGGACAAGGCACAAGAGTCGTAAAGGAGATAGTCCTGAACTAGACTTGGTGGGTAATATGAAATTAGTGGGAGTAAATTTCATATGTTTATAGAATACTACTAAAGACAACTGAGTGGTGGCTCAGTTGGTACGTAAACTGGGTTGTCCTAGTAGATATGCGGATTCGAGTCCCGCTACCGGCCACCACCGACTTTGGAGGAGATTTATTAGAGTGTTGCTGAAGTGCTGTGCTATGCCAAAGAAAAAATGAATTACAGCCCCTATGGGGGACACATGCGTATAATTCAATACCCCCAAAAAAAGGACACCATTAAGTGGGATGGTCTAAAGTTGATAGATCTAAACTTCGTACCTAAGGGAGAATCATGCTGGTAAAAGGTTTAGCACTTCAGCCTTAGTGCCAACAATGACCTAGGTACGTGCAAGTTTCTCATCTCATTTGCAGACCAGGTGACTTAGGAGCCAAATCACTTCTGAACTGCATTTCATGAGAACTCATATTGCAGTCTATGGAAAAAATGCATGCATCTGCTTTTATATCTCAATAGTCCCACTGCACAAATAAAAAGTTAAACCACTAGTTTCCTATATATTATATGTAAGTATAACCAAATCCCTTAAATTGATTATAGGCAATATCAACAGATACATCATGACATGCTCTACTATGCCCCAAAATTCAATTTGGAGGTGCTGAACCTTAAGATGGAGGCCCTATTACAAAATGACACCTAAGAATTTGTTCAGCTAGTGTCTTTGAAGGAATTCCTCAGGCCTCTTAAGGAATGCGCCCCACCTGAACCCAGACAATGCACCTTTTGAAAGGCTTACACCTAGTGTGCCTTGCATCTCAGCCAAAGGCACACCTTTTATAAGTTACCTTTTATGTTACTTTTTATACATTATGTGTTTCAGACCACTATAATGGTATATTGACTTCTAAATTACCTTTTAATGGTGCTTATACACCACTAGTAATGGTTTATTAACTTTTTATTTTTAAAGAAACAAAAAACAAAGTCTTAAGAAAACTTAAAACCTTGGTGATAGGACCCAAATAGAAAAGCTTTCACTAAAAAACCAATAAAAATACAATTAATCTTTGACCTTTAACCCTAAAATAGAATGAACTGCAACTAAAATCATAAAACCAACCCCTTGTACATATATGGGCCAAAAATTCAGGTTGGCGGTGCTGCCCCTAAATCCTACTTGGGCTTATTTGGACCCATTGGCTCTGCACCTCCATAAAGGCCCCAGCCTCTTAGGAACAAGAGCACCAGATGTCTAACATGACACAGATTAAAGGAGATCCAAAGTTGGTGGTGGGTTGGCTGAAGGAACAAGAGCACAAGGATGAAATGAAGATATTTAAATGTCTCACTAGAAATATGAATTTGAGGAATGAGGATACAATGGGTGAAGAGATCAGGTAATGTTGTGTGTGATACTTTAGCTAAACAAGGGGTGAATAGGGATCAATTGTATTGGGCTCAGTTGTAATCTTTAGTTTTTATTTATTATGATGGGAGAGGTCACCTCTCTAAGGGATTCTTGCATTGCTTATACTTCTTGATTAATAAAATTTCTTTTACTTATCAAAAAAAATATAAAAATAAGTGAGAGTGGTCTAATAACCTATCCAACATTATCACCCGAGTCTTCCCTTATTCTCTTCTATTCTATTTTCCTCTTTGTTTTACATCTAAGCACGAATTGATATCACAACTGATTACTTGAATGTCAGAAGAAAATCTAAGAATGCAGGAAGTAAGACAGGCACTCAAAAAGAAACACCTATCCCTGTAAGACAATTCTAGAATGTCAAGATCATTAGAATAAATAAAAGGAAGGAAAGCAAAATCATAGCTGAGAAACTTTCTGAACTATATAAGAATGCCAAATGGATATCCCAAAAGATTCTAAGATGCACAGTGTTACCTGAAATCTGACCGACAGAGAAGATTTCTAATAAGCTGGAAATCAAACACATTCTGCATATGTATAATTCCATACAACTCTTAAGTGAAAAGAAACAGGAAATATTACTTTAGAGATGAAAGGGATGTCTAGTTCTCATGAAATACCTTCATTAGATCTAGATAATCAGAAACTGGGTCAATTACTTCTACACTGAAGTTGCCATAAGCTGTAACCCCTAGACAGGTTAGATCAACATCTGGAATTTCTGCCATTTTAATTTCAGAAATCTGCACATGAAATTGGACCGTTAAAATTTCAAAGCAGACATTATATCATAAAGGAAAAATCTAACGTAGTAGTGTTCATTAAAAGTGGAATGGAATGTCATTTACTTGAAACTTTAAATCCAGTATACCAATTTGACACAGATTGTAGATAATAAAGAATACAGGTACTTAGGGCTTTTTCATTTCTCTACACAAGAGGGGGTCATCATAGTCATTTTGTACTCTCTATGCTTGGATATAATTATGAAAGAGGCATCCGACCCTAGTGATTCACTCTTTCTCTATCTAATCTCATTGCTGCACTATTAAACATATGATTTTTAATCTTTTCCTTAGTATCAGAGCTTTTGCAAGATCAATAGGAGTCACCAACAGATGAAGGATGCCCTGCTGATATCATTGCAAGCATAGAGATATCAACAGGTTTTCAGATGGCTTGTAACTTGAATACTGGTTCCATATTTTTTGGGAGCCTACAGAACATTTTGTACAATATTATATGGATCTATATTATCATTTTTCCATTACTGACAACAACATTTTATTGCTACTTATCTGTGTTTTTTTTATTGGGTCACTGTTCATAGTAGCTGAAAATCATTTCCTTCTTCTTTCTTTTGCATATTAGATCCAAATAAACTAGATCTGATTGCTCTTTCATAATTTAGGTTTAGGGTTTAGGATTTTGTGTTTATAGGGTTTTTTATGATTTAGAGTTTATGGTTTGGGGTTTAGGTTTTAGGGTTTGAGATTTTAGGGATTTAGGGTTTAGGGTTTGCGTTTGAGAGTTTAGGGTTTAGGATTTTACTTTTTGGGAGCTCAAAAGTGGCTTTACCTTCTTTTTGGGATGGCCAAAATGTATAAAGGCTATGTTTGGTTTGATAGAAAAGAATAGAGAAACAGAAAGTTGAGTGAAAGTTCTTAACACATTTTGTGAAATTCCAACCTTCCCTCAACTTTCTGTTTTTGTCTTTGTAGAAACCACTGATGTGGTCCCCACCTCTTTCTATTGTACTCGTATACAACTACTAGTTATTTAAGTGTCAGTCCACAATTAGTTGTTAGTCTTTTATTAGGACTTTAGTCTTTTATTATGACTTTAATTGTTGTCTTTTATTAGGATTTTAATTTTGCCATGTAAGCAGTCTTATCCTTACTTCAGAATTAATATAAATAGAAAGAGGGGGGCGGCAGATTAAGCATCCTCTTCTTTTCTGAAATCCTTCATTCGAAATCTTCTTCTCTTCTTTTCTCTTCCTCCTCTCATTCTCTCCTCTCATCCTCTCCTCTCATCCTCTTAATTTCCTGTTGATTATACACTACAGCTTGGGCTGTCAGTAGTCTCATACGACTACATGGTATCAGAGCCAACCTAGGAAATCTTATGATAGTCTGACATGGCCGGCTGCATAAGAGGTTCCTAGGGTTGGAAAATTTCCAGCAAAAGGGATCATCGGCTGAGTCTTGGAGATTGTTGGTGAAGCATTAGAGAATGCTCAGCAATCAGGAAGAATCAGAAGGAAGAACCCTCAAGATTAGGGTTCAGACTTATCTTTGAAGGTTGCGGCCAGAGTTTTGCTGAAGTCAATATTTTCTATTAAAAGGATTACCTTTTCTGGTTATTTCGAAGGTTCGACTGAAAGTGTTTTCCTTCTGAACTGTTCTTGATACATTAAAAGAATAGTTTTTTTGGTTACTTTAAGAGGTGCAGCTGAACTATTTGTGTTCTTGGCTCTTGACCTTTGATTGGTTCTAGGTTCAAGATTCTAGTTTCTTGACTGTCGCCAATTCTAGGGCTGCAGTTAGCTTCAGCCTTGCATTCTCAGCCCTGCACTCCAAGTTGTACTTGGAAGGTTATCTTTTTGAAGTGGATTGCCGACCTAGAAGGATAAAGTAGGTTCAGCTGATAGCAAATTCTGGGTGTAATTGCCTAGTCTCAGTGATACAAAAGGCATTTGTTAATCTTTTCTTAACAAAGAATGGAGTTTAAGAGCCAAGGAGAACACTATTTAGGGGCTGGTGGTGCAGGTAGCATACCTGAGAACAGTTTTCAGATTACCACTGCAAAATTTGATGGGTCAAACTACCTAGAGTGGGCCCAATCAGCCATGATGGCTATTGGGGGTAGAGGAAAGCTAAGTTATTTACTAGGAGATGTCAAGGAACTAGCCAAGGAGGACCAAATATATACCAAATGGGTTCAGAAGAACTATTTGGTTATGACATGGCTGTGTAACTCCATGCAACCACATATCAGCCGAAATTATTTATGGGCAAAAACAGCTAAAGAAAWTTGGGATATCATGAAAGAAACCTACTCCCAACCCCTCAATATTGCTAGGGCCTATGAACTAAAATGTAAGGTGAATAACCTTAAACAATGAGAGAAGCCAGTCTCGGTTTATTTTTCCACCTTGAAATCCTTGTGGCATGAGATTGATCACTTAGAAACAATTGAGTGGGAAAGCCAGAATGATGCAAAGACCTACAAAAAGCAGGTTGAAACTAATAGGGTATTTGAGTTTCCAGCAGGTCTGAATTCTGAGTAAGACATTCTGAGACAACAACTTCTAACAAGAGACAGTGTGACTCTATCACAAGCTTACTCTCTAGTGCACAGTGAAGAAAGTAGAAGGAAAGTTATGTTACAGCATTCGCCACTTGAATCAGCCTTGGCAGCAACTAAACCCAAGTTTGGGGGGGATAAGGAGAGAGGTATGAAGAATGAAGACAAGAAGGACCTAATGTGTGAACATTGCAAGAAACCCAAGCATACAAAAGATACTTGTTGGAAGCTACATTCTCATTTAGTTCCTGCAAAACTCAGGAACAAAAAGGGGAATGCTAATACAATTGTTACTACTGATTGTGCAACCTCATCAGGCACAAGAGCAGCACCACTAGACACTCTAGCTGTTGTTCGAGCTGCCTTGACTCAGTTGGAAAAGGAGGTTGGCAATTCAGCATCATCATCTCAGCCAGTCACAACATCAGCTCCTCCCACCTCAACATTTGCTCATTTAGGTACATAGGCCTCAACTTATCATGCTTTAGCTCCAGGTAACACTGAACATTGTTGGGTAATAAACTCAGGTGCATCTGATCATATGACTGGTTTGCCTTCACTATTTACTACCTATCACTTGTCCTCTGGTAAAGACAAGGTGTCTATTGCTGATGGATCACTTGTTCCCATTTCTAGCAAGGGAGACATCATGTTGTCTAGTGCCATTTCCCTGTCTTCTGTTCTGCATGTTCCTAAACTTAGCACCAACTTACTTTCAATTAGCAGCATTACTAAAAACCAGAGTTGCTCAGTAACATTTTTTCCTGATCGATGTGTTTTTCAGGACTTTGAGACAAGGAAGGTGATTGGGACTAGCCATGAGACAAATGGAATCTATATGCTTGGAGGAAGTTCACAGGGGGACGGTAGTGAAGTTAGAGGGTCTTTTGTTTCTCAGTCTATTGGTCAAGTCATGCTTTGGCATAACCGATTGGGTCATTTATCCTTTAGGTCTTTGAAAAGCTTGTTTCCTAGTTTATCTAAATCTATCCAGATGTTCAGTTTAAAGTGTGAAAGTTGTGAGCTTGCAAAGCATTGTAGAACAACCTATTCATTAAGTAATAAGAGAAGTAGTGTTCCTTTTGACATTGTGCATACCGATGTTTGGAGACCATATCACATCACTGCTATGGGGGGATACAGATACTTCTTGCTGTTTGTTGATGACTACACCCGATTTTCTTGGGTCTACTTGATGCGTTCTCGAGATGAGGTCCCTACCCTAACCTAGACCTTTCATTAGATGATTTTAACCCAGTTTGGGGTAAAAATCAAAACTTTTAGATCCGATAATGCGAGAGATTATTTTAAAACAACACTAGCCTCTTACTTTCTTGACCATGGGATCATCCATCAGAGTACCTACCCTCGTACCCCTCAGCAGAATAGGGTGGCTGAGAGAAAGAATAGGCACATATTGAAGGTAGCTAGAAGTATCATATTCAACTCCAATGTGCCTATACATTTTTTGGGAGATGCCATTCTCACAACTGTGTATCTCATCAACCGAATTCCTTCACGGGTTCTTGACCTGAAACCCCTATTCACTCTTTTATATCCTGATAAAGAGTTGTTTTCTGTCCCCCTTAAATCCTTTGGTTGTACCTGCTTCGTGCAAACTCTTGGCCCTCGCTATTCCAAATTTGACCCTAAAGCCTCAAAATGTATTTTCCTTGGTTATGCACAAACTCAAAAGGGATAATGCTGCTACGAACCTGCTTCAGGAAAGAGATTTGTATCCATGGATGTTACTTTCTTTGAGGATGTACCTTATTACTCTAGGGTTTCTTCTCAAGGGGAGAGCAGTACAGTTGGAGTTAACACATCAGAAGTCCCTTTACCTGTTCCATTGAGTGAAGAGGGGTGTAATGGGGAGGATTGTCATAAATGTCGGGATTTGAGAGTTTATCACAGAAGATGGAGGCATGTTGATTTCGATCATCAGCAGTCCAGGCCAGCCCCAATTCCTTCTGAAGATCCAAATCCAAGTACTACATCTCTTCCAGCTCCCATTACAAATGAGCCTTCTGCTATTGAGCCTTCTCCATCTTCTGAGCCCTCACTTCCATTGAATGACCTTGACCTTCCCATTGCAGTTCATAAAGGCAAACGCCATTGCACCTCATCCACAACCCACTGTATCTCACAATTCTTGTCCTATAATCACTTGTCTCCCTCTTATAAGTCATTTCTTGCATCAATTGCTAATATTCCCATTCCCAGAACAGTACAGGAAGCCCTGACCATTCCTGAATGGAAAGATGTAATGAAGGTAGAAATGGATGCCCTTCTGAGAAACAATACTTGGGAGCTAGTTGATCAACCCAAAGGGAAGAAACCAGTTGGATGTAGATGGTTGTTTACTGTGAAACATAACGCTGATGGTTCCATTGAAAGGTATATGGCCCGATTAGTTGCAAAGGGATTTACTCAGACTTATGGTATAGATTACTTGGAGACTTTTACACCAGTAGAAAAAATGACCACCATCAGAGTGTTATTATCTCTTGCAGCCAGTTACTCTTGGCCCTTGTTCCAAATGGATGTTAAAAATGCCTTCCTCAATGGAAACTTGCAAGAAGAAGTGTACATGCAGCTACCTCCTAGCTTTTATAGTACAAAGACAGGTAAGAAGGTCTATCGGTTGAATAAAGCTTTGTATGGACTAAAACAGTCCCCCGGAGCTTGGTTTGATAGATTCAGACAAGCCCTTGAAAAGTTTGGTTATGTGCAGGCTCAATCAGATCACACTTTGTTTATTAAGAAAGTGGGTACTTCCTTGACTCTACTTGCTGTATATGTGGACGACATTGTAGTAACAGAGAGTGATAACAACGAAATTGGGTCTCTTAAGAAACTTCTCCATCAAGAATTTGAGGTAAAGGACCTGGATAAAGCATGGAATCTTTGTTTCTCAAAGGAAGTATGTCCTTGATTTGTTAGAAGAAACAGGAAGGTTGGGTGTTAAGCCAGCTGATACATCTATTGAACAGAATCACAAGATTAGTGCAGAAGGTGGAGAGCCTCTTGAAGATAAAGCTATGTTCCAAAGATTAGTTGGTAAACTACTATATCTTTGTCTTGCACGACTAGACATCAGCTATGCAGTCAGTGTTGTTAGTCAGTATATGCACTCTCCCAGAACTACCCACCTACTTGCTGTTGAGAGGATATTGGCATATTTAAAGAGGTGTCCAGGCAGAGGTGCACTATTTAAGGATAATAATCACATGGAGATAGAAGTTTACACAGATGCAGATTGGGCCGGTTGTATTGATGATAGAAGGTCTACCTTTGGATATTGTGCCTTTGTAGGAGGTAACCTTGTTTTTTGGAGGAGTAAGAAACAAAATGTTGTTTCTCGTTCCAGTGCTGAAGCTGAATATCGGTCCATGGCAAATGGTGTGGCTGAAATACTATGGTTGAAATCATTTTTGATGAATTGGGTATTACCTATGAGAAACCTCTAATGTTGTACTGTGATAATCAGGCTGCTATTAATATAGCTCATAACCCAGTACAACATGACAAAACTAAGCACATTGAAGTCGATTGACATTCTATTAGGGAAAGGGTTGCATCTCAAGAAGTCTGTCTTCCATATATCAGCTCCAACATGCAGCTTGCTGATCTTCTCACCAAGGCAATTTCAAAGAAGAAGTTAGAAGCAAATCTATGCAAGTTGGGAATGATAAACATCTATTCCCAACTTGAGGGGGAGTGTAGAAACCACTGATGTGGTCCCCACCTCTTTCTATTGTACTCGTATGCAACTACTAGTTATTTAAGTGTCTGTCCACAATTAGTTGTTAGTCTTTTATTAGGACTTTAGTCTTTTATGGACTTTAGTCTTTTAGTCTTTTATTATGACTTTAATTGTTGTCTTTTATTAGGATTTTAATTTTGCCATGTAAGCAGTCTTATCCTTACTTCAGAATTAATATAAATAGAAAGAGGGGGGCAGCAGATTAAGCATCCTCTTCTTTTCTGAAATTCTTCCTTCGAAATCTTCATCTCTTCTTTTCTCTTCCTCCTCTCATCCTCTTAATTTCCTGTTGATTATACACTACAGCTTGGGCTGTCAGTAGTCTCATACGACTACAATCTTAAACCAAGCACAGAATGTTTATTACATAGATTCTGTTTTATAAGTAATGAAATAAAAGTCATTATGAGGTAGGTCTTGATCATGGCCAAGCCTAGTACCTGATATAAGGGGGTTAGTGTAGCCTTTTGCTTGGACAGAAAATCCAAGACAAGGCCAGGAAATTTGCAGGCCTTCTAGATCAGGCCAGTGATCATCCTATTGATAAAGCACTAAAAAGAGTGTGGCAAAGGAACAGATACATACAGAAAGAGTGTTTCCATATATCTTGTCAGTAATGGACTCTGGTGCAGGCTGCCCACTGTTATAGTTGAACTGAACAAAAGACAAAATAAGGAAAACAACCAAGTCAGAAAAACACCAAATATGACTCTATGAGTTCAAATTGACTTTTGAGTTCAATGCACTGAAGAAAGTCACCATTGCAACTTTTTGCATGTTACAATATGAAGATTCACAAGAAGTTCACCTTGATACCCCAGTCATATTCTGGTCCCCCTGGATTATGGCTAGCACTCATTATAAAACCACCATTGGCCTGTCAGATGATATGGACAAAGAGGAAATGAATCGTTTTGATATAAGATTACAGAGTACAAAATGTATATACAAAGAAATGTATGTCTTGCCCTTCGTTTCCGAATGACAGCTGAAACAGCTGGTGTGGACACTATACCCTCCCTGTAACAAGGACAATTTTGTCTTTAGATTTCCATCACAAAACTCATTCCAGTCTAAAACACAATAAATCAAGGTGATTCTACAGTCAGAACAAGTAATAGAAAAAACAAAAATGATATTTTAAAAGAATATGAAGTTCTAAAAGGATTTTCCTTTCATATTCTTCCATCAGATTTGTAAAACACAAATAGTAATGAAATAGCATTACTAGAGCATAGAGCATATCAGGCTGGCAAGTATGAGAACACAGGATTGAGTCTGAGAGTAGCCACTTTGTGCGAAAAAGGGGGTGTTAATTGTTCAGTCCGCCCACTAGACTTTAGTACAATTTGTACAGTTGGAACCTGTTGGAATAGTTTACTTGACATTTATGTTTTTATTCTGCTTAGGGTCAGTTTGTTCTGTTTAAAATAGCTTTTTTATCACTGTTTATGTACTTTAGCTACAACAGGGGCACAAGGGTCTTTTCCCTTTTAATTATGGTCGCCCTATATATAATATTATAATCTGGCGCTGCCAGACTTAGTTCTGTTCACCAAACAACTCTTTTCTCTTCTCTTCTCCCTTCTCTCTTCTCTCTCTCTTCCTTCTTCTTGTTTCCTACTGTTCTTTCTCTGTTAAGATGGTATCAGAGCAGTTCTACTGGGTTTGAGAGCAGATCAAACAAGGTTTTTCCTCTTCATCTTGCTGTCTTATCCAGGCTGAGATCGGAAAAGCTGACCTATGGCTGGTACAAGTTTTTTACTTTTTTTCTCTCTTATCTTGATTGTGTGCCAAGAGAAAACTCTATGAAGCAAGTCTGCTGAATGCTGTCAGGAAAATTGTGAGGTTCAAACCTCTTTTCTGTGGATCCTGTGATCCTGTACCTGAGAAGGGGATATCTATAGGTCACGGATGACCTGTTATTTCCCAGTTTTGGTGTAATTACAATGTTCTGAGGATCTCTCCTGGTGGTTAATGTGCTTAGATAATCTGGAAGTTTGGTAGGCTGGAACTGTTAATTCTGTACAGGTCTGAAATCAATCTAAACGTACCTTTTTTTTTGGAGAATTGGTGCTGGTCTCTGTTAAGACTGTAGTGATACAGTGGACCAGACCTGATATATTTACTTGTGGTCCCATAAGTTCAGTTTTTTGTTGCTTATTTTTGCTTTATGCTTGCTTTCTTGTACTGTTATAGGTAGCAGGGAATTTTTGTCCTTTACCTAATGTTATGTTAAACACATATAAATAATACTGCTTGTGGCGGCAGTAATAGAACATTCTGCCCCCATTCCTCTCCAATTCTTCTTCTCTTTTCTTCTCTCTTCTTCTCTTTCGATTTCTGGGTTATTTTTTCAACCTAAAAGTTCTGCTAACAGCAGTAACTTCAAGTTGGTATCAGAGCAGGTTTAGTTCTGCTCGTGAATCTCATGTGAGCTCTTCCCAGCCAACTACATGAGATTTTAATAGGACTGGAGATTTAGTTCTCTTCGTGGTCTGATTCTTGGAGATTGGTAGAGTTCAAGGCTTGCCCAGGACACTACATGAAAAAAGAGCATCTTTTTTGAAGTGTGAGAGTTGTGAGTTTGCAAAACATTGTAGATCCTCCTATTTATTGAGAAATAAAAGAAGCAATACTCCTTTTGAAATTGTGCATACTGATGTGTGGGGGCCATATCACATTCCTACTATGGGGGGGGAGAAGTATTTCTTACTATTTGTTGATGATTACTTCTGTTTCTCATGGGTTTATCTTATGCGTTCTCGAGATGAGATTCCCACCTTAATCGTGCTTTTCATCAAATAGTCCTCACTCAATTTGATAATGCCAAAGAGTATTTCACTAAACACCTGAATTCATATTTTCTTGAGTATGGGGTTGTTCATTAGAGTACTTGTCCTCATACACCTTAGCAAAATGGGGTGGCTGAGAGAAAAAATAGGCATATCCTGGAAGTTGCAAGAAGCATTATGCTGAATTTTAATGTTCCCATTCATTTTTGGGGGGATGCTATTAATACAGCTGTGTATCTCATCAACCGAGTCCCTTCTCGTGTTCTGGATATGAAAGCTCATTTTTTCATTATTTCATCCTGAGAAAGATTTGTATACCATCCCTCTTAAAGTTTTTGGGTGCACTTGTTTTGTTCAAATTTTGGGACCTCATCATTCTAAGTTTGATCCTAAGGCTGCAAAATCTATATTCCTTGGTTATGAATAGAATCAAAAGGGATGTTGCTACTATGGTCCTCGTTCTGGCTCTCAGTTTGTGTCCATGGATGCTACCTTTTTTGAGGATGTCCCTTATTACCCAAGTGTTTCTTCTAAGGGGGAGAATAGTGAGAGGGATAGTCCTTGTCTTGAAGTTCCTATGCTATTCCTATTCTTTTAAGGAGACTTATGTAATGAGGGTACTTGTCAGAGGTGTAAGGAGTTGAGAGTTTACCACAGGAGGTGGAGGCAAGTTGATATTGGTGCTCATAATTAATCCAGGCTAGTTCCTCTCTCCTTTACAGTTCCAGATTCAGGTACTTCTCCCTCCTTGCTTGTTGATACATCACTCTTACCTTCCGATCCCTTACCCCCTCCAGATGATCTTGATCTTCCCATTGCAGTCCGCAAGGGGAAGCGTTGGTGCACTTCATCTACTACCCATTGCATATCTCAGTTTATCACCTGTGATCGTCTTTCACCATCCTATAGGTCCTACTTGGCATCTATCCCTGTTATATTTATTCCTAGGTCTATCCAAGAAGCTCTTGTGGTACCTAAGTGGAAGACTGCAACAGAGGAAGAGATGGGTGCTCTCATTAAAAATAAGACCTAGAGCTAATTGACAAGCCAGAAGGGAAGAAACCAGTTGGGTGCAGATGGGTGTTCACTGTGAAGCATAATGCAAATGGCTCAGTTGAAAGGTATAAAGCTCGGCTGGTTGCAAAGGGGTATACTCAGACTTATGACATTGACTACCTAGAAACCTTTGCACTTGTTGCCAAGATGAATACCATTAGAGTTCTGTTATCCCTTGCAGCAAATTTTTCATGGCCCCTATTCCAACTAGATGTTAAGAATGCTTTCCTTAATGGCAATTTGTAGGAGGAGGTGTATATGGAGTTACCTCCTGGGTTTTATGATGAAGCTATAGGGAAGAAAGTTTGCAAATTGCAAAAGGCCCTATATGGTTTAAAACAATCTCCAAGAGTTTGGTTTGACAGATTTAGATTGGCTCTTGAAAGTTTTGGTTATGTACAGACCCACTCCAATCACACTCTCTTCATTAAGAGAAATGGTGCTTCTCTCACCCTTCTTGCAGTGTATGTTGACGACACTGTTGTGACCGGTTCTGATGTTGATGAGATTGATTCTCTCAAACAATTGCTTAATAAGGAATTTGAAGTGAAAAACCTTGGTGACTCGTGATATTTCTTGGGAATTGAAGTGGCCCGCTCTAGACATGGTATCTTCATTTCACAAAGGAAATATGTCCTTGCTCTCCTTGAAGACACTGGGAAACTAGGAGTTAAACCAGTAGACACACCTATTGAATTGAATCATAAGATAAGTGCCAAAGGGGGTGAGCCTCTTGAAGACAAAGCCATGTACCAACTATTAGTTGGAAAGCTCCTTTATCTATGTCTTACTCGTCCTAACATCTCCTATGTTGTTAGTGTTATCAGCCAATACGTGCATTCCCCTAGAACCACTCATCTATTGGTTGTGGAAAGAATCCTAGCTTATTTGAAGAGATGTCTAGGTCATGGTATACTCTTTAAAAACAATGGTCATATGAAAATCGAGGTGTATACTGATGCTTATTGAGCCGGATGTGTTGATGATAGAAGATCAACTTCAGGGTATTGTGCTTTTGTTGGAGGTAACTTAGTGTCATGGCGTAGCAAGAAGCAAAATGTTGTTGCTCATTCAAGTGCTGATGCAGAATACAGGTCCATGGCTCATGGTGTGGCTGAAGTGTTATGGCTGAGATTCCTTCTTGAGGAACTAGGGATTGAGTACGAGAAACCATTGAGGTTGTATTGTGATAATCAAATTACTATAAATATTGCTCACAACCCCATCCAGCATGACAAAACTAAACATATTGAGGTTGACCATCACTTCATCCAAGAGAAAATTGCTTCTCAAGATGTTTGCTTGCCCTATGTTGCCTCTGATATGCAGCTAGATAATCTCTTCACCAAAGCAGTCACCAAAGTCAAATTGGAATCAGATTTGTGCAAGTTGGGCATGATCGACATCTATTCCCAACTTGAGGGGGAGTGTAGTGATACAGTGGACCAGACCTGATATATTTACTTGTGGTCCCATAAGTTCAGTTTTTTGTTGCTTATTTTTGCTTTATGCTTGCTTTCTTGTACTGTTATAGGTAGCATGGCATTTTTGTCCTTTTACCTAATGTTATGTTAAACACATATAAATAATACTACTTAGGGCGGTAGTAATAGAACATTCTGCCCCCATTCCTCTCCCATTCTTCTTCTCTTTTCTTCTCTCTTCTTTTCGCTTCTTCTCTTTCGATTTCTGGGTTAGTTTTTCAACCTAAGAGTCCTGCTAACAGTAGTAACTCCAAGTTAGATTGTGTCCAAACCAAAGTGTGTGCATGTGGATTACTTCTCTGGTGTGTTTGTGGGACTTTTTTTTGGTGTCAGGAGGGATCCTAAGTTATGTGTTGAAACTAAATAGTGAATTTAACCATGTCCTCTGAGAATTCTGCAACTTTTGGGGTTTCAGGAGGTCAAAACGGAACGAGTGGGGGGATGGATATGAGTTTCCTCATGGTTGTAATTCCCTTTGATGGACTAAACTACCTTGAATGGTTTAGGGGAATTAAACTCTACATTACTTCTAGGGGGAAAATAGGGTATATTAATGGTAAAGTGAAGGAACCAAAGACTAGAAGTGCTGAACATGACAGGTGGAACCAAGAAAATAGTATGGTGATGTCATTGCTCTTGGTTTCTGTGCTGCCACAAGTAAGGATGACATTTATGTGGGCCAAAA